TTCGGCGAGCTTGTCGATGACGTTGTGTCAGGATAGGCCGTATGGCGGGACGTCGTGGTCTGATCCCGTGATGACTTTAACGTTGTCGAACTGTGTTGGTGGGTTCGCCTAGGCAGTGTTTCCTGGGAGAAGTCCCATTCGCTGTCTGGGCTGCGTGTAGAGGGGGCGAGGGCCATGAGCGGATGATGAGCCTTACCAGCCTGACTGTGCCAGGATCATCCGAACCCTCTCTGCTGCATACTATCTTTAATCTGTAAAACATAATAATAATGCCAAGTAGTCTTTGCATTCCTTGGACATCAGTTGGCTTTGGCACGTCAATTATTGCTTGAATCTTGCGAGGATGTGGTTTTAGTCCACCCGAAGACAAGAGATGTTCTATGAAGGCAACTTCTTTTGTGTGAAGCTCGAGTTTGTCTGGGTTAAGACGAATGGTCTTTGAGTGACATCGTTTCAACAACTTGATGAGACGTTCGTCATGGTTGTGTAGAGCTTCCTCAACAGTATCACCTTCCCCAATCACAAGTATGTCATCATTGATCTTGAATGTCCCTTCAAGACCATGGAGTGCCTGATCTATGCGATACTGAAAGATATCGACCAAATGTAGTTCCGAATGTTGTGAGAAAACTAGAATCATCATTCAGGGCCACGTGCCAGAAACCATGTTGCAGGTCACATTTAGAGAAAACCATGACCTTGGAGATATCAGGAAGAAGGTCATCAACCACAGGCAGGGGATAGTGACTCCTCTTTAGATCAGTATTGAGAGGCTTTGGATCAATGCATATCCTTAACTGACCTGAGAGTTTCTTGACAAGAACTAGGCTTGATCATCAACATGCTGGATGACACCCAAGATCATGAAGTTCATCTTTTAACTCCTGTTTCATGGAGTGTGGCATCCTTCGTAGCGCTTGCTTCACTGGAGTAAATGAAGGATCAATTTCTAGTTTCTGTTCTCCTTCCAGGTGTCCTATGGTTGCATCACTGAACCCAACTTGGTACTTTTCGAGAATGTCTGTCTTTTTAAACATAGTCTCCTATCACTGTGGTCTGGAGAACATTTTCATACATGACTTTGAAACTCCATGTTTTGTGCATTACCAGAACCAATCAACGGTGTTCTAGGGTCTACTACAACCACAAACTTTACTTGGTAAGATCTAGAGTTCATGGGGTTTGTGAGTTTCAAAGTAGTCACACCTTCTGCAGGAATGATAGTCTTGTTGTACATGCGTAACTTGACATTGGAGCCTTCAAGCTTGGTATTCGCAGGTAAGTCAGACATTGAGATAACATTGCAGGTTGCCCCACAGTCAATCAGAAACTTTTTGAGAGAGCTATCCACTTCAAGGTGAGTGAAGATTTTGTCTTTGTATTCTTCTACACTGTTTACAGATTCTACTAGATCTAAAGTCATTACTTCTTCATCTGAAGTGTCACTGAACTGTCTAACATGTTTAGACTTTCCTTTGGAAGTGGGTTTAGAAAAGTGAGACATCCTACCACAGTTGTGACATTTCTTGCCAAAGGATGGACAAGAATCCCTGTCACGTGAATGCTTTGTACCACAGTATTTGCAGCCAAATCTCAGAGATTCAGGTTTAGGTTTCCTCGACTTCTGTTTTTTGGAACGTCCTTGAGCAAGGTGAATTTCTTCATTTCCACACATGGGACGAGGTTGAGCAGAGGTTGACTCAGATACTCTAATAACATCAATACACATTTCTAGAGACAGAGATGATTCCTGTAACAGTTTTCTTCTTACAATTTTGTCTCTGATGCCGCATACGATCCGGTCACGGAGTTCATCATGTAGATCTCGAAATTCACATGACCGAGCAAGAGCTCGAAGCTGAGTAGTATACGTATAAATGTTCTCGTGCTCCTGTTGAGTGCGGTTGTTGAAAATGTAACGTTCATTAATTACATTTGTCTCTCCAAGACAGTGTCGTTCCATCAAATTGAGAATGCAGTCAATGTGATGTTTTGATTCAGCATCTGGAAATGGTAGACCATTGTAGATCTCAAGTGCATCAGAACCCACATATGTAATAAAAGTTGCCACTCTATACTTGTGGTCCTCTTCTTGTGTTCTTGCTACAATTTCAAACGAGTCCCATAATTGTTTCCATCTTTTCCAGTTACTACAGAGATTTCCCCGAATTTCTAACTTAGGAGGTAATGGCAAATTGATGTGGAAGACTGGAAAGCTTTGTGTATTTTGAGAGTAAGTTGGAGTAGCACCATCCGATGTTGAAGCATGTTTTTTAGTTTCTGACATTTTAGAGAATTTACTTTAAATTTTGAGTTTTGTGCAGTCTCTTGGAAGTTTTACAGTATTTCATGTATACTAGCCACATACAGAAACTGTGCATTGTCAAAATATTATCCCAGTTGATAAGTACGATAACAATGTCAAAGGTACAGATAAACTTTAATGGAGGGATCATGAGACCATAACAAGTCAGGAGAATTTCAATTGAAAAATCAATCACAATGACGTCACGAGTCCACAAGCGGGACAGGGGTCAAACGACCATGTCACAAGCTCAATAACGGGTATGTCCACCATCGGCATTGAGAACAGCAGTGCATCGACGACGCATAGAGCCTATCAAACGTGAAAGGAAGGCTTGTGGGATGTCACGCCAGATTCTCTCAAGTTCTGTTGCAAGGTCAAGGACGTTATCTGGCGGATGAGGAAGACGGCGTAGACGTCCATCCATATCGTCCCAAACATGCTCTATCGGCGAGATATCCGGTGAATATGCAGGCCAAGGCAGTAAGTCAACGTTGTGGTGTTGCAAGAAAGCCATAGCAAACCTTGCCGTATGAGGGCGGACATTGTCCTGTTGGAATGTTAACCCAGGGCCATGACATTGCAGAAAAGGAATTGCCACAGGTCGAAGAATCTGATCCCTGTAGCCCACACCAGTTAAGTTGCCCTGAACAATCACCATAGGAGTTCTTTGGCGTGCTGTTATTCCACCCCAAATCATCACGGAACCACCACCAAAGCGATTCCTCTCCAAGACACAGGCTTGTGCATAACGTTCTCCCACGCGTCTATAGGCACGTTGACGTCCATCACTATGGGAAATGTTAAACCTGGACTCACCTGTAAAAACAACATTTCTCCACCAAAACAAGGGTCTGCGGACATGATTTCGGCACCACATTCGGCGAGCTTGTCGATGACGTTGTGTCAGGATAGGCCGTATGGCGGGACGTCGTGGTCTGATCCCGTGATGACTTTAACGTTGTCGAACTGTGTTGGGGTGGATACGGCGAAGTTCGGGCAGTCATCACTGCAGTCTGAAACCTGTGGCGAAGATGGGTCACCCTTATCCATCTGTCCTGTCTTGGCGTTGTTACACGTTGACATCCAGAACGTGGACGATCGATGACGTCATTTGTGTTCTGGTAGCGTCTCACCAGTGGCGGTGGAAATGTGCAGCCACTTGTCGTTGAGACATTCCCCCACGGACCATCCTAATGGCCTCATGACGTTGTGCAAACGTGAGCCTTGGCATGCTATGCGTTTCAATAGCCATTTAATTTTGTGAACGATCGCAAGGGCAGGATTGTGTGGCATTCATTTGCTCTGTTTTTCTTTCCTGGAATGCACGTGCAACAACGTATTGCATGTCTCAAGGACGAACCCACTGACGTCGAGGAACGTGGCACGTGCATGCATGTTGGATACATGTCACTAATCTCTGAGTTAAAATCCTTATGTGTCTACACAGGTTTGATGAATTTATATTTTAAATTTTTGTATGCACAGTTTCTTTATGTGCCTAGTATGGATTGAGAGTTTGAGACGATCAAGGTGTTGCATACACAAAGCATCTTCATAGAACATCAAGCACAAACGTTTAGAGAGTTACTACAACACATATACATGTTACAGAGTTCGAGAATGTCTGTTTGTGCTGATTCACATTGAGAATTATTTAAGACGTAATGGCGGGTGAGTATGAAGACCACGTGAGTGTCACTTCGAGACGTTGAGCGACTATTTTCATTTATGCGAACATTCATATCTGCATTGCCATGTAATAATAGCTCATAGGTTATATTCACATTGGTAACACTGCGTAAATTAGTCACCATTGCAGTTCTCTGTACAGTATATAATTGACACTCATATAGGCAATGATTTCACCTATATGTTGGTATGAGGCCAACATTTCACATAGTCCGATTCGATTGTCTATATTGTTTCACGAAAAAAAACTAATTTGTTCGTGACATCGTTAATATTCTATACTCTCGAGAAAAGAACCTATAAAATCTATATGCTGATTAGGTTAAAGGCGTTTGGCATTTATAAACTGAACCAGTTTCAGGCCATCTATCTCCAACATTGGCACTTGTGAAAACAGGAGGAGCCCATCTGAACATGGAAATGGGCCATGATGCTAATGGCTTCACTCATGTATCTATTCTTGCAGTTTATTGTGGTTAGGCTTTCATCTATGCATCAAATAACCCCATGATCACGATGCCTGACATAATGCAGATATCAATATTCATTAGTCGTCAGTGGTGATATGAGTCTAATATTTTTCCTTAATAGCAGGGGCGGTGGGGTAGGCGTGTGGTTCAAGCGTTCGCTCGTCATGCCGAAGACCCAGGTTCGATTCCCCACATGGATACAATGTATGAAGCCCATTTCAGATGTCCCCCGCCGTGATATTGCTGGAATATTGCTAAAAGCGGCGTAAAACTAAACTCACTCACTCAAGCGCTGTGTTTACATCGGTTCCCTGCGTAGAGCAAATCCGAGGAGAACACGTAGAGTTATCAGTCAGAAGGGATGGGTTACCAAGTACAATTTGATATGGTAAGTTACTCAATCTGCTTGTTTGGTATCACTACGGGAACGCTATTGATCGTATATCGGTGACGTCAGCAATGAGTCAATTATTCCACGTGACTAATTCCCCGAGAAAAAAGTACAAGAAGGAAACATTTCAAACATGGGTGTTGATAACGTGGGTTTTCCCGCCTCTTAATGCTACTTTTCGTATCTGTTTACAGCAGAGAGTCTATTTCATTTACTCGTCCACGGGGTGCGACTCACTTCCATGCTATATCATCTCTATTATCAGGATTCACATCAAGTACTAGTAAGTAGTTTCAGATGTACATAGATATAGGTAACGCCCTCAATTCAACGGACAGCAGATCCGCGATTCTTGATGTAAAGTAAATGATCTATGGAGTATACTTATCCATCAACATCATGTCCAGCAAAGACACTGCCCCACGACCGAGAATATAATATCATAATTCAATATTAGTACCTGCAAAATGAAATGGTCATTGTATAATAGGACACTGTATACAGCAGTATCATTTGTAATGACCGTGCATGACGACAGGTTTATTAATCGATCATACATGTTTTGGAGTTATAGACAGGCTATATTCTAATGGTGTATCGAAGAAAAAGACTTGTAGTCTGGTCTTCAACGCCTCGCTTCAAATGTCCGTGCCTTTATCTCAACCATCAAACATTTCCTTTATCAGTATATAGTTACGAAAATCTTGAAAGATAGAAAACGACATTCAGAGGTGCCCCGTTTCGAGATAATATATTCACCGTATTGATATGGGTGAGAAGAATAACATATTCCAGGTAAATGTAATGAGTCAACTGAAATTCCCCGAGAAAAGCAGTTCGTGCAAGTCAGCAATTCAAATACAGGTACAGGTCACCTGGGGTTTCCCGCTCATGTTATTATTATTTCTGTTTCTATTCACAGGAAAGCCTCGCAGTCATTCACGGTGACTGCCTGGCCGTGTGAAGAACGTCTCTGCTATATCATCTGTACAATCAAGTTTCAGATTAAGTAAGTAGTTTCAGACTTTTGTAGTGAATGTAAAGTAAAGGATCTGTACATTCACCCATCAACATCATGTCGAACAAAGACGTTGCTGCACGAGCGAGAATATATCATGCGATATAACTACGCGGCAAAATGAATTAGTTTGTAAAATAGGACACTGCACACAGCAGAAGACATGTGTACGTGGCGGTACATTGAAACAATGTAGCTACAACAGGTTTTAATAATAGATCATGCATGTGTTGGAGTCACACACAGGTTTTAGCATTACTACTGTAGTGTATCGAATGCGGACACAAAGTTCAGGCTTTTGTACACTGCTAAGTATGTGGGTAATCGATCCTTGCAGTCGGTGTGACAGCTCACGACATAACCACCAGGCTACATCACTTCAGGGAGAAAAGAAACAAATATCGTAATATCAGGACATGCGCAAACCCACACTACCCCTGTTTGTGAAACGTCTTTAGCCAAATGCAACACGCTCTATTTAATCTGTATTTGAGCCATAAAATTACAGCAAGCTGACATTCGGTATACAGACATTTTTCTCATATTCTTTGACACTTGGTTAAAACATCTGTTTTGTTTTTATTATAAAACTTTTGTAGTATTGCATAAGTTTCATGAATAAAACATTTAACAGAAATACTAGTATATAAATAAATAATAAAATAATAATAAAGTTAATATTTGTATAGCGCCTGTTCCAACATATTGCTCAAAGGCGCTTAGGCGAAGGCTATGTTGAACAAGTGGGTTTTTAGTTGTCGTTTAAACTGGTCGAGATTGACATGTTCTGAATGTGCCGAGGAAGACTGTTCCAGAGCCAGGGGCCGGCTTTGGAGAACGATCTATCTCCATAGTGTCTTTTCCTAGTCATAGGAACATCCAGTGCTCTTGATGGTCTTGACCTAAGATCTCTCTCTGGAGTGTAGGTTGATAGGAGTTCACTGATATACTCAGGAGCTAGACCATGCAGCGATTTGAAGTGTATGGAACTTTTCGCCTGTTATTGTTTACGCTTGCGTTTGAAAACGGGTGTAACGAGCAAGGCTCGTCAATATTCAGATTCACTTTTAATAGTATCTGATTTTTTCCCAAGGGTAAGTGCCTGTGGTATTTTCGTTGCTGTAGGTTGAAGGTTGAAACACAATGGCAAGCGGTGGAGACAGACAGAACAATGGGACAGACTCACAGTCAACAAATGGTATCGTATAAAAACATTTAGAACTTTTAAATCGAGTTTAAATTGGACCTTACTTTTAATCTAATTACAAAGATAATAATTAACATGTTTACTAAGAGCATTATTGACATGTTATTTCAAGAATTACATTCAGTTCTTTTAACGACGTTTGTAAATGTTTTTGCTGAACATATTTTGAGAAGACATCGTCATACAAAATCCGTATACGTGTTGCAGTCAGCTGATCTAGCTGCAGTTGTGTTAAGTTTCTAATATCCCTATTAAATTACTATTGCTTTACGTCACAGTCACTTATGGAGTATTGTGTCCGGTACAGGCAAAACAGTGTACAACGTATAGACTCAGATCCGTGCCATTGTGAGTGAGTCGGGGTAAGCTGAGCTTTGCGTAGCTTTGATAAATATTACAATAATGACAAGGTGGGAGTTGTATTTAGGGGGAGAAAGGATTCAACAACCAGATGCTCTTGTTCCACACTTTGGTATGTTTCAGGCACTGGTAAATATAAGCTACAAAACCATTAACTTTTTCCATTATCAACAGCAACAATATCAGGAGAAACCTCCACCAAAAGCTGTTTCCCTGGTATACCTCCGACTACCTCATGAAATATATGTGTTTATTTATCAGTATCAAACAGTGACGACACAAGGTGTTCGCGGAAATGTGTGCGTATCCTGCTCCGCTGATGGCACTCACCGCAATTAATTTCAACAGACCAATCCTGTTCAGAATTAACATTTTCGGAATCTCTTCTTTGAGTGTCATTTTAGATTCTTCTATTTCGTGAGTTCGATGTTTCAATACAGATTCGTGTCAAGCAGGTACAACGTTGCAAGAATATCGAAACGTTACAGTCACAAAAAGAAAAGAAGTTGTTCTTCATTAATATTCTCATGGCTTAATTAGTTTGAAGTATATTCAGGATCTCTTTATTTCATCGCCAACTTAGTTTGAGGTATATTCAAGGTCGTCTAATTAGACTGAAGCATATTCTGGATCTCCCTTTGTTATCGCCTAATACGTTTGAATTATATTAGGGATCTCTTTATTTAATCGCCTAATCAGTTTGAAGTATATTCGGGATCTCTTTATTTCATCGCCTAATCAGTTGGACGTATATTCGGGATCTCTTTATTTCATAGTACATAAGTCCCGAAACATTTAAAGTCAATCCCAACTTACCAGATTTTTTAAATGTAGTATTTCTGTGCTTTTAACTTATGGCTAAATTCGACTACAATCGCCAGCTGCTGAAGGGATGATATAAATCCGGCTAGGGTCCATGCAAGTGGCAAAAAGTAATGTAAGTCCCCATGGTTCCTAGTATGGTGATCTACCTTCAGTTGTTGGCGATCTATAGCCCGTGTTTTAGACTGTATTGACTTCTTTAATTGGAATGTTTTAGCTTTGCTCGCTAGTTTTATATTATATCTGTGATTTTCTAGTATTTGTACTGTCCATCGTCGACAGGTTTTAATCTTCAAATTGTTTTCGTCACGATATGGCTGAGATATTGCTAATGTGACGTTAAATATTAACTCACACTCACTCACTCGCCATCGTTCATCGCCTAATCAGTTTGAAGTATATTCGGGATGTCTCTGTTATATTGGTGAATTGTGAACGCCATTGCCTCATGTGTTTGATGTATGTGGCACAGGTGGTCCGTCGGGTATGGCAGAAATCGGCAAGCTCGTGTCTGCAGTACAAGGTTTGTATTGCTTAGTGACATTATTTCCTGCATTACATTATTTCCTAGACTCTTTAATAATATATGCACATGATTTACAACACATTTCTGTAATTATTGTTTGTCATTTACATTTCTTTCATTAATTTCTCTCCCATCAATGCGATTGTTACTGATCGTACTATAGATATTAGACATACTCCTAGTGCCTTCTTTCCAATTCAGCTTCGTCTGACACAACTATTGTGAGGATTGGCCAAGTACGTGGGAAAAATGTTGGCAGTACCGTCGCGTCTGTAATGGGAGGACGAACTACTTTATCAGAAGGTAAGCGCCCGCACAAGGTACTCCCTTGTATGTGTCGAGGGGTACAACAATATTTATCAACATTAATATATAGTATTCTATAGTATCGATGGCTGACATACACGGGCACACTCCCATACAATATCACAAAAATGGGTTGGTTGTGGCATGTTTTTCCAACTTCTAGCCGTCGTGACATATATCAATTCATTATAACAAACAATAAGTAAACCCTATCATGTGGCAGCAGATTAATCGTAGAGGACATGATGCATGCCGTAGTAGTATATAACTGAGGTCAACGGGGGTCAATTTAGGTGGATGTTCGTTCTGTAATAACACTGTTTACGGATTTAAACATCGCTTTAGTCATTTGTGACACGTACCATTATAAACAGTAACGTGATTGTTTCTTATTTCTTGTAGGTACTAAATACATTGAAGCAGCACAGATTGGCGGCACAACGGAAGGAGGTGGAATAGTGACTGCAGCAATAGACCACACTCTCGGTCAGTCACTGAGCGTAAACAACCAGAAACAACAGATGTACAATACACTTTATCTTACCTCACACATAAATGTCGCTTTCTGATTGGCTGAATGCTCTTCTATTATTTTCAATGAACCCCGCTTACAAGCGAGTAACATTTCAATGTACCCCGCTGTCAATGGCAACTCATTTGGTACTTCGTGGTAGTAATTCTTTATCTCGAATTACATTGAATCACGTATGATGTACGGATGAAAGGAGATAACTCTAAATCTGTTTTTCATGTCGGCAAAATCTAGCGATGGCTCCGAAAGGATTTGTACCCGTGTTTCAAACAATTCAAAGTTAACAAGGTGTTCGGTAAGATAAATACGTTGTTCACTGGTCCCTCGGGGTCCATGGGTTGATGTACCCTCGATGTTTATATATGTCCCCTCGCCCTTCGGGCTCAGGGAACATACACAAACATCGAGGGTACGTCAACCCATGCCCCCCTCGTGACCAGTGAACAACTTATAATGTACAATCGGGCATTACAATCATCCAAAATAATGATCTCTGCTATACTTGTCACGCTAATTAAATCTAGAAACTAGATAAAATGTGTGCATATGGTTTTACGCCGCTTTAGCAATATTCCAGCAATATCACGACGGGGGACTCCAGAAATTGCTTCACACATTGCATCCATGAGGGGAATCGAACCTGGGTCATCGGCATGACAAACGGACGCTTTAACCACTAGGCTTACTGCCCTGTAATGGTTTATTTTCAGTGATTCCACCTGCTGCTGCCGCTGATGAACGAGATGAACCATCCGGACGGGTTCAAGGTTGGTTCTGTTGCCACAGAATAACCTGCTCAGAACGGTAGTGGTGGATATAGGATAATGGATGAATTGCGGGTTGTGGGATTAATGACTGTTTAAAAGATATCTGTCATAATGACCATTCGAGATGTTACGAAAGTTTAAATAAACTCACACAGAAACGACACACACTGACATATATGTTACCTTTAACAACAAATTATACGTATTGTTGATTACATTTTGATGTGAGTTTCTCAATTTAGACAGTTTTTAACGAAATAAGGTGAAGTAACTATCACGTGGTTGGAAGCCCATGGGAGTATAGCGCAACATAATCTATAAATACGTATAATACTGGGTAAGTGAATTAAGGTTTTAAGCAAAACGTATAATACAAAATGCTATGATTTACGTTTTGCTATCATCTTAGTACTATGTGGATTCACAAACATCGATACGAACTACTAAATACATTGTTTTGTTCCATTAGGTTTGAAGCATACGGTTGATGAACTCACCTTTGGTAAGTAGATATAAACATTAAAAACCCTCGAAAACATATAAACATAAATACAGCAATTCAGGTAGAACCACATCACAGTTCTGATCAACGTATCAGATTTATACAGATGATGACAGCAACATTGACATCCGTGCTCCTACCGAGGTGACAATAATCCAGCTGCAGTTGAAAACATCTCCACTGAATTATAAATATTAAGGTTGTTTTCGTATAGAAATTTTAGGGCTGAGCGGTCATACACTGCAGACAGTAATCCTGGACACTTGACACAGAATCACGAAAAAAATCGAAATAATTAACTAAAGAGGTTATTTTGTTTGGTATGTACATTTGCATTCTATTTACAGGCAATGGAAAGACAGTTGCCCTGCTTTTATCTGGGGCCGGCACAGCCTCCGGCATAAAAGTATTTAAGGGAGATGTGGAACTGATGAAGACATTATTGACAAGTGAGAAGATTGGACTGAGGTACATGTTGCTGCTCTCGTTGTTGAATGACACATTTGTTAAAGTTATTTTCAAGAAAAATAAAAATAAAAGCTAAAGTATCAGCCATAGTATGATAAATTTCAAATCAATCATTATCAATAAGTTTTCAAAATTATTAATATTAAGAGTTATTAGCTTTTCCGGCGGATATTGCAGTGGAAATGTCAGTAGTTTTCATAAAACGTCATGGTCATTAAACGTCCCAATAGACATAGAAAATGCAATAGAAAATGGTGTGATGGACCATCAATTTAATGTGTTTTCTGTCTGAATGTACGTGGAGATACATGAATCATTCTATGTTTGCAGCAAGGACCTAGTGTTTTCAGTATGTCCAAATCCAGACTCTGGAACACAAACAACTAAGAAGCAAACAGAAAAGGCTATTGATGACCTCAAAAAGAAACTTGGAGACTCTACAGATAACAACTTCATTTTCTACTATTCTGGTCATTTCAGCAAAACACATCAGTTTAAGGTAGACACAAGGGGTGATCCATCTCAGAACTATTATAATGATGAAGATCTGGCCCGTATGCTGCTGACAATTCCTGCCAAGCATGTTCTGTTGATCCTGGACATGTGCTACAGTGGCAGTGCCAATGTCGGAGCGAAGGATGGGGATGGACTTTCAGAAACAGAGGATGTTGGAGTCGAGGAAATATTAGCTAAAGTTCCTCGCTTGTGGGAATTTATGACCAGCAGAAAAGGTGTTCAAGCGAAGGGTGACCCCGAGATGGTTGTCCAGTGGTCATCTTCACGTGCCGACCAGCCATCATCATATGATCAGCAGTCAAGCTACTTTACTCAAGCCATCGTAGACGTAGTCACTGCTCTGGATACGAATGACGCCGTTAAAAATGAGTTGGAACGTGGGCAAACACATGCTACTATCCTACAGGTGCACCGGCAAGTGGACAGACATCTCAGGGAACATAACAGATCCCAGCGACCAATTATCAAACCAGATCATGCTGATGCAGAATACTTCAGAAGCTTCCCTCGTTTTGCTAAAGTCAATTGAATGGATAAAAAAAGTCTTATGAACTGTAGCAAAGAAGATTAGATATCCTCCTTGTTGATATTTACAGATACTAACTGTAACTTAGTACTTTAAGCAACAACTCTTGCGTCTATATCTCTATAGTTTTGTTTTGTTTTTCACATCTTATCATATCATATCGCTTGCCTTCACGATTGCTTCGTGTTAGTTCAATGGCGAAGAAAATGTTTTTGCTAAATCAACAGACTTGTTTTAACATGACATAGACATGTTACTCTATTATGTTGATTGTGTAAGTTTTGTTAGGTTCTTTTCTTTATTGCTGGTTAAGATGTCACATTGGGTCCCGTCAGGGTTGTCTGTCGTCACAGCATTTACCGATGTGGGTAGTGCCTCCATTTGTAGAGATGATCTTTGAGAGCAGAATACTGGAATCTGGGTTTGAAAATACTCAGAGTCTGTTTGCTACTGATGTGAAAGTTGTACATATACTGTTGATGATTACCTTTCATCGCAACTTAAGGGACGAAAATGTAATGTTCCGGGATCTAGGAATTTTGTTGGCTCAAAATATTTTTTTTTAAATGGGCTAAATATACGAAGTTTCGAATATCTGTCACGTTATATGTTACTGGAAATTGTAAATATTACAAACTACCCAACCATGTCCACTATCTTAAACCTGTCAAGGGTCATACATTGACAATCAGCATCGGACTTAATCGATGACCAGTGTCTCTTAAGCAAGGTTGCAATACATTAGCTCACTTTGATCAATTCACGCACGTGCAAGTATACATTCGTGGCATACTCGCAACTGGTCATCCATTAGAGCCATCCATTACACAATTTATCATCAATGCTTCAATGCTTTTGACCCTTGGAGTATGTTGAAATTGTCATTCTATGTATGGTTTGTTCCAAAAATATTCACAGGTACTACTGTTTATAACAGATCACTTCCAATTCTGTTCAACGTATCAGATTTATACAGATGATGACAGCAACATTGACATCCGTGTCTCTACCGAGGTGACAATAATCCAGCTGCAGCTGGAAAACATCTCCACTGAATTATAAATATTGCCAGTTTTCGTATAGAAATTTTAGGCTGAGCGGTCATACACTGCAGACAGCAATCCTGACACTTGACACAGAATCACGAAAAATCGAAATAATTAACTAAAGAGGTTATTTTGTTTGGTATGTACATTTGCATTCTATTTATTGCGGGCAATGGAAAGACAGTTGCTCTGCTTTTTATCTAATGCCGCACAGCCTCCGGCATAAAAAGCATTTAAGGGAGATGTGGAACTGATGAAGACATATTGACAAGTGAGAAGATTGGACTGAGGTACATGTTGTTGCTCCTATGGTTGAATGACGCATTTGTTAAAGTTATTTTCAAGAAACATAAAAATATAAGCTTTCAAAGTATCAACCATAGTATGATAAATTTCAAATCAATCATTATCAATAAGTTTTCAAAGGTTATTAATATTAAGAGTTATTAGCTTTTCCGGCACGGATATTGCAGTGGAAATGTCAGTAGTTTTCATAAAACGTCATGGTCATTAAACGTCCCAATAGACATAGAAATGCAATAGAAAATGGTGTGATGGACCATCAATTTAATGTGTTTTCTGTCTGAATGTACGTGGAGATACATGAATCATTCTATATGTTTGCAGCAAGGACCTAGTGTTTTCAGTAATGTGGAAATCCAGACTCTGGAACACAAACAACTAAGAAGCAAACAGAAAAAGGCTATTGATGACCTCAAAAAGAAACTTGGAGACTCTACAGATAACAACTTCATTTTCTACTATTCTGGTCATTTCAGCAAAACACATCAGTTTAAGGTAGACACAAGGGGTGATCCATCTCAGAACTATTATAATGATGAAGATCTGGCCCGTATGCTGCTGACAATTCCTGCCAAGCATGTTCTGTTGATTCTGGACATGTGCTACAGTGGCATAGCCAATGTCGGAGCGAAGGGTGGAGATGGCCTTCCAGAAACAAAGGGTGTTGGAGACGAAAAAGAATTAGATGCAGTTCCTCGGTTGTGGGAATGTATGACCATCAGAAAAGGTCCTCAAGGAAAGGGTGACCCCAATAAGGTTGTCCAGTGGTCATCTTCACTTGCCGAGCAGCAATCATATAATCTGCAGTCAAGCTTCTTTACTAAAGCCATCGTAGATGTTGTAACTAGACTGAATACGAATAGCGAGGTTATGAAAGAGATAGACCCTGGGCAAACCCATGCTACTGTCCTACAGGTGCACGGGCAGGTAATCAAACATGTCTATGCTGCTCTCGAGAAATACAAAGTAGTGCAGCAACCAATTATCAAGCCCGATAATGCTGATACAGAATACTTCAAAAGCTTCCCTGGTTTTGCTAAAGTCAAATGAACGGATAAATAATCTAATGAACTTTAGCAAAACAGTTTAGAAATTTTCTCTTTCATTTTGACAGATACTTACTTTAACCATATACTGCTTAGTATGGCAACTTGTATGTCTATATCTCTATAGTTTTGTTTTTCCACATCTTATCATAAAAATGTTACTTGCTTTCACGTTTGATGAATTGTAAATAATACAAATTATCCAACCATGTTCCACTATCTTGAACCAAGGGTCACACATTGATAATCAGCATCGGACTTAATCGATGACCAGTATCCCTTAAGCCAGGGTGCAATACATTTAGCTCTATTTTAGGCTATGCCTGTAATTTCACATTGGTCAAATCACGCGCGTCCAACATACATTCGTGGCATACATGCAACTGGTCATCCTTCCACAGTTTATCATTAATGCTTCAGACACATTCTGACCCTTGGTGTATGTGGAACTTGTCATACTATATATGGTTTCTTTCTAAAATATTCACAGGTACTGCTGTTAATAACAGATCACTTCCATTTCTGTTCAATCTTACAACGCTGCTTGAATATGTATTATGACTATGTATACTGTATATGCCTATCTGTGTGAC